CAACTTGGGTTTCTTTTTATGTTTCCTTCTGCCAGGGCAACTTATGAGTTGGCATTGTGACAACTGAGAAGAATTATGCAATACCATGAAGTTGTGATTAATATATTTTAGGCCACTGTAATCATATTCAGTTGCATAATTATCATAAAGGTGCAACAGAAAGCTAAACTAGGTTTTGAAGACAATGATATAAATGAGCACTTTCAGTTTATTGAATTCCTTGTTAGAAGGAGGAGGAAATGATGTGCAGGTCTGCAAGAGCTGTGTTGCTTGCAGACTCCAGAGATTCTGCCAATAATGTATGGGAAAGGAAATGTATGGTTCTGCCCTAAATATTTTATTCTTTGTGTGTCTAGTTACAGGCTTTCACAGAAGATAATCTGTTAATGTCACACCTTGGCTGTTATAAGCCTGAAAAACAAATCAGAGTGTTTCTTCCCTAGGCTGTCATGCCATGGGAGTTTATAAAAAATGCTGCAGAAGTTTATAAAAAATGAGTGCTTTGATTTATTTACACTTCTCAGAATCTGTACTGGTATATCAGACTACAGTAATCAAAGTGGGGTGGGTCACAACTTAATAGATTGCATATGTGTTTAAGGCTAGAAACATAAAGACTAAGTTGGTAGGGTTTATTTCACAAGCTGGAAAAGCAAAACTAAATTAGTATTAGAGCATCAAATTCCCTCTTCACAAATGATTTTTTAGAAGCACCATTCCCACTTGAAGTTAAGTGAATATGGCTGTTCCAGATTGTGCATTTGGCAGTTTCAGAGCAAGGCTGAGGGTCCCCTTTGCCCCCTGAGGTCTCCACACTATACTCAGTCTTTCTGGAAACCCTCAGATACCTGGGAACAGAGAAACAGACTCAGCATTTCTGTTCATCCCCTTGCTTTCTGCCATGCCACAAATATTAGTAGAATTATCTGAAGACATAAGGAAGCAAACTTTTTATTCTAAAGCTTTTATTTTGACATTGATGATGGTTGCTTGAAGTATATATAAATATAGGTTTGATTTTGGAAGGAAAAAAATCCTTTGTTGCTAGGTCTTATAGCAGTCACATCACATAAATTGGCAGATCTGTATACTTAAGGGATTTTTCTCTCTAATTAAATACAGTAGTAATGCCTTGCCTCTTGAAATGAAACCTTTGTTTTTTCATCTACGTACTTACAGAACAAACACGCTGTCAAAATCCTTAATGTATCCAACTATTTGAACATAAAGAACAGCATCAAGCTGTTATTTCTTCTGTTGGAGTGTACTCATATTTCCAATCTGAATCTTTTGTACCTGGTGATGTTAATTACATTTGAGCTGGAAGTAGTTTAACATTAAAGAGAATTACAGCAGATTAATCTGTAAACCTGCACAAATATGCCATTCCTTTGTATGGAGGTAAGCAGGGCATAGAGTGCATGATTATGTGTTGCTCTCTGTGTAGGCTGTGTGGTGCTGCCATTCCTCGTGACAGCAGCAGTTATGGCACACTCTCCTGTCTTGCAGCTATCAGCTACTTTAGAAAACATACATTATTCCTCTCAGTAAGGTAATCTTGTAATCATGGACAATCAACGAAAAAAAAAAAAAAAAAAAAAAATTGAAAAAACCAACTTGCCCTGGAAACAGGAATTAGTATACTAATTAGTGTATGAACATACAGAGAATTATTTTAAACAATGTTGTTGTAATTTTTTTTTCTAAAGTGATATAGCTTGAGGTCAACCCAAGAAGGCCATTTATCTCAATGAGCCACCACCCTTTACACTTTTTGCAGCCAGAGAGACAAAATAAAATTACTAAAAATTAATTGGGAGAGGTATGTTTCTCCAGCCCTGACGCAAAAAACATCACTGGAATCCAGTTGCAGCAGCTTGGCCTCAAGTTAGCATGGTAGAAAATCACAGCATCAGCAAACAAGAATCATAGTTCATACTGGTAAATGCACTTTGAATCACAAAGTATCACTTATTTGTTTATGATTAAGGCCTTTGGATTTGCTTGTGATTTTTAGCTCAGGTGGCACTATTGAGCCCATTTAGGAACAATTTGCAAGATGAAAGGTAGAAAAGTGAAATTTCAGAAGAAATATAGGAGAAGAGCAAGCTGCTCACAAGCAGTCTGAGTTGGGGAAGGTATGCTCTGGGACTGAGCTGCTTACCTACTGGTCAGCTTCCGTGTGAGCTTTCAGATGGCAGTTGCATAAGCTACTGCATCATTGCAGTGGCTTGGGAGAAACTGTCAAAAAATTTTAATTTAGCATGTGTACATCTACCAGAAATAAAACTTCTTGTAAGTGTCAAGTATTACCTGAATTTCATGAGGATGGCGTAGGTGTTACCTGAATTTCATGAGGCTGGCACAGGGGTTGCCTGTAGGACTGGCTGGTGTGTTCTGACAGTTCTGGTTTTGTCAGTGTCCCATTGCTTCACGTCCTTTGAGTAAGGAGCAGCCTCTCCAGTGGTGTTTTTTGAATCCTGCTGGTGAATGCTGGTGGTCCCACAAATTATCACAAGGCACCAACACAGGAACATCCTTCTCAAAAGTGAGAGTGCCAAAAGTAAAATAAACTGGCAACTAGTCGTTATAAGATAATT